AGGAGGACACGAAATTGTACCATCAACATAGCCAATTAGATTCGTAGCTTTTAGAATATTCTAAATTTGGCTTTTCCAAATCACAAAATTACTGGAATCAAGCTTCATAGTAATGAATGAAGATAGATTAGAGATCAACATTGTGAGATTAGATGGAATTGAAGAAGAAGAAGATAGATTGGCCATAGACTTGAGGTCGGAGGAGCTTTACAGCTCTGATACCATGATGAAATTTAGACTCAAGATGAATTCTTATTATTTTCCTCAATGAATGATTTGTACAGATTACATTGTATATATATATAGATTAGTTGGGAGTTAGTTATAACAAACTCCTAATACACAATGCTATACACACTAACCAACTCCTAAGCTAACTGACTTTGTAACCAGCTGATCTGATGTAGTTGTAGCTGCACTAACTGAAGCTAGGGCTGACTTAGCTGCTGAGCTGATATGGGATGAAGGCTTAGCTACTGCTGCTGAGCTGAGCTGGGATGATGAAGTATTCTCAACAAAAGTGATCAATTCCCATACCAGAGAGGAAGTTTAGAAAATTTTTATGGCAGTAATGCCCCTCTCTTTCTTGAACTTTTGATATTATTATTCACCGACACAGTGTTGGTTATGCCAACAGCTGTGCCCTTGGTTGTTAAAAAAATATAGTTGCACATCTAAATACACATCTTGCAAAAGAACTGTTGAAAAAAGGAAAAAAAAAAGATTTTTTAAGAACAATCTTGTTTATAAAACAATTGTAGAAAAAAGAAATTTGTGGGTAGCAGGTGGTGGTAGAAATATATATTAGCCACAATTAATAATGATTTCTAGAAAGCCAATTTGATTAACAAATATTTATTGACATTTTTTTAGACCCAATTAAAAGAATCATTGTAATAAATAGAACAATATATCAATCAATAATACATAATTCATTCTCTCTATTTCTCTATACATCAAATTTTACATATTTATTGACATTTTTTTAGACCCAATTAAAAGCCATTAGATTCAGCAATGCATCTGCGTACTTTAAGTAATATATGGTGTACTTTATCATTGATGTGACACTTAATTGGGTAATCATATCTCAAATATATTGAAATCATTTCTAATTGCTAAGAAGAGATTTACTATTTTTTAGCTTTTGGGGGGATTTCGGATTGCATCTTTAGAAGGGCTATACTCTTGTAATCTTGAGCTTTAGATTTATTTTTTTTTTTCATAAGTTTTATTAGTTGCTTTGTTTTGGAATGAAACTTTTAACTTACCGGAACAAAAATATAGGGATTTACTATTTTTTTTTTTTTTGGTTCTACATTTTTGCGGGTAGTTTTGATAATTGCTTCTCAAATTTTCTCTCTAAATAGCCTTTTAGATTTGCGAAAGAATATATATAATCATTTTTAATATGTATTTAGTTAGGTTTTATTCCCCTTTAAGCAGTACAAAACATTACATGATTACTTCTTGACAAAACTTTAACATGTTTCAATTTATGGAATCAATTTATTTTTGATTTTTTTATAATTTTTTCAATGTGGGTAAAACAAGCCTTTTTCTTGTGATTTAAATAAACTAGTTGTTACTATTGTAATGGTTTGGCCATTTATTTATTCTGCTTTGGACTAACTTTAATTTATTTACAATTCTACTAATGTTGCCATTAATTATCTATACAAATTCTAATTTTGTCATATTTTTTGATGGTTTATCAATTTCTTACACTCTTTTGGACTAATTTTAGCTCATGCTGTGATAGGTTGTAACTAAATTTTAGTTAATAACGCAAATCATAGTTTTTGTCGAAATTGTCAGATACTTTACAATCAATGTTGTCGATAAAAATCTTCGTTTGTGTCATATTCTTAGTTATTAATTTGTCGTACTCTGTCGGTCCAAATTGTGGTTCCACCTAGGACTAACTAATTTTGTCCTTTTCATTGTGAATCTTCATTTTTGTCATAATTTCTCTAAGATTCTTCAATTACACTGTCATCAAAACCGCTACAAAAGAAATTACTTTTGCGTAAGAGTATTTGCAACAGATATACCAATCACTACTTTTGCCATTTTTTCTGAAGGTTTATCAATTTTCTATACTTGTAACAGGAATATTTGGTTCTATCTATTCAAGATTTAATAAAATTTGTCGTTATTGATGCAAATCTTTATTTTTGTCTTACAGTTTTAGATATTTTTTAACTATTGCCAAAACTAAAAACAAAAACAAAATACAATATTGAAACTATTTTTTTTTTTTTTTTATAAAAAATCTGAAGATGAAAATTGGAAAAATGGTGTATTGATTGGTTATGCTTCCTATTGCTTCTTTCGGTGTGAATACATATTTTTGTCACTTGGATCAAAATTTTAGTACAATACAATAAAACCACTCATCTGCTATGTGATCGCCTTTTTTCTTACCTAATTTTTATTCAATGAAAAACAATAGCCATATATATCTATATGTTTTTTTTTTTTGATCGGCAATATATATCTATATGTTGCTTTGTAGGGTATGGAACCTGTGATACTAACACCAAAATCGAGCCCAGCATCGAAGGTCCTTGGGAAGCGCACACAGTTAAATTAGTAGGACTCCGATGGGATGTGGCATGGACTTTGCATTGCCATAATTCCAGTAATCTTATGATATAATAACTAAAGTTCTAGGTGGTGTAAAACTATGTAATCAATACTAATTGAAGTACTAATTATTATCTATAGTTCTCCGTATAGTTCTATCATGTAAAACTATTTATGTTTCTAATTTGTATGGTTGTATAGTTGTGCTATGTATCTACTGATCTGCTGTGTTGTTGTTCTGCTACTGGTCTGCTGCTGTTGGGGCATCCTCCTGCAGCTGTCCTGCTTTGCTGATCTGCCATTATGCTTCTGGACTCTGCTGATAGTCCTGGAGTCACTGCTGCTTGGTGAAGGTTAGTATTGGTTATTGGTTGATTCTGGTGTGGAGCAGATGAGTACAGATGCTGTTTTGGATGCACAGATCATGAAGAGATCAGAAGAAGCCAAGGCATGAGTTGCTAGCACATATTTGCATTACCAAATCTGAACTCAGCCAGAGGAGTTGAAACCCGTTCGACATTGGTTAAAATGTGTTCGACATTCGTTAAAACGTGTTCTATTTTTAATTTTTTTTTAGATCTTGATACTTTTCGGACACTTGTGCCCTTTACTTAAACACACGTGTTTACCGATTAGACGCAGATGAAACTAATTACAAGGCTGAACTAAATAATTTAGAATATAATAATAAAAGAAAAAAAGAGAGATTTAGTCTAACATCTCTCTCCAACTTTTAGTAATGGGCAAGGTCCACAATTTTTTTTTTTTTTTTTTGGTAGCCTAAGGTCCCGTACCCACACTCATATATCACACACACTCTCTCATCTCTCCTCTTTCCTCCTCCAGATGCTTTATCACATTTGAAGACTTGTTTAACAGGACACAAGACAAAGCGAACTCTACTAGCGTTTCGAAACCAGTGAGCAATGTCTCTGGTTCCAAGTTTATTGTAGGATCGTAATGTACATATATCGTGTTCTATCTGAATTTTTTTTTATCGAGTTCTATCTGAATTTTTTTTTTTTTTTTTGATTAGCAAAAGAAGGAAACTTTATTGATGAACTAAGAGAATAATACATCAATAAAGAAGAGGGGGGAGGGGGATGGACACCAAAGCATCATAGCGAACCGAACCAAACCAATCTCAACTAGGTTGGCACTGATAAGATCGCCCAATCATATGCTAGCACACCACCAAGGGTTGGTGAGAGACCAACCACAAACACAAAACCAACCACACCCGAAAAAAAAGCTAAACAAACAAACCCAAAACAACAAAGACCAAGACACCACCCCTGCTACACAGCAACAACAGATCACAGCAGACCAGAGCAAGACAGACCAAAACAGAACACGGCAGACCAGTGCAAAACAGGTTACAACAGATCACAACATACAAATCAGTGCAGCAAATTAGCTAAACAGACAGCAGCACAACAGATAGCAATAGAAAACAGAAGCAAACAGATTATAGCAGTAGATCACCTCCTCTGTTTCATCCACACAGGCCCAGCAGAGCACTATAAGCAGTGCACACAGACTCAACAAAGGAACTATAAGCAGATTCTAACTTGTTGAATATTGTAAACAAACTCATTCACCCCATACCCTTGCCCAAATGAATGTGCTTTCATCCAAATGGCCACTTTAAATTTAATTAACTCACAAAGGTCATCACAAATGGGCTGTAACTCATTGAACAATCAGTCATTCCTGCATTTCCAAAGGGACCACAAACCAGCAATCAAAATTGATCTCCACAGTTATTTCTCCCTTTTCCTGCAAGTCCAACCTATCCACCAGTGCATTAGCATATCTACTGAACTAGGGGAGGCCCATTGCAAACCCCACCACTTGATTATGGTGGACCATACTTTCCAAGCAAAGGGGCAAATCAATAAAACATGATTAAGTGATTCAATCTCCGCATGACAAAACACACACTCAATACTTACTTCATCACTTAAGATACCAATTCTATGTAAATAATCTGAGGTCTTTAACCTCTCTTTCCAGACTAACCAAGAGAGAAATTGGGCCTTAGGTTGAGAGGGATTGTGCCAGATCAAATCAGGAATTTTTAGGACAGGACCAGTAGATGATTCACACCAGATAACAGCGCCTTTAACTCTAAAAATACCTACAAGATCAACTTTTCACAAAAGACTATCTTTAGAATCCAATCTCAACTCAGGACCCTCTCCGAGAACATCATGAAGTCTCTATAATTTATCTTCCTCCCAAGCCAATAATGGTCTTTTGAAATTGAATGCCCAGTTGTTCTGATTTTGAGCCCTAAATCACTGCAAAAATAGGGATATGTCTCTTTCCACTGATAAGTAGTATAATCTAGGAAATTGGGACTTCAAACAACTGGTGCCCATCCAATTATCGACCCAGAAACTAAGTCTTTAACCATTGCCAATCTTGATTTCAGTATTGTGCAAATAATGGTTGAGCAGGCTGCTGTTAGATTCATTAACAACTAGAATGTCACTCCACAATCTTGAAATATTATTTGCCTCCACATGAAAAGGAAACCATCTACCCCCCTCTGACTTATACTTACTGCATATGAGTTGTTTCCATAATGAGTTATCTTCCATCCCAAATCTCCACCACCACTTAGCAATCAAGCTATTGTTCACAATTCTTAAATCTATAATCCCCAACCCTCCTTGCTTTTTATCCTCGATTAAATCCTTCCATTTCACTAGGTAGACTTTCTTCTTGACCTTAGAGTCTCCCCACAGGAAAGCTGCTTGAATCTTATCAATCTCTTTTTCCACACTTCGATGGCAACCTAAACAGAGACATCTAATAAATAGGTAGTGAGGATAGTTCAGATTTGATTAGTGTTACTCTACCTACAAAGGACAACAACCTCCTTTTCTAACTTGTTAGTTTCTTCTTAAATTTCTCCACCATAGGCTTCCAAGTTGCTCTTCTTGATAGATTGGCTCCTAGTGGCAATCCAAGATACTTCAAAGGGAGCTTCTGGCAGGTACAATTCAGTTTTGAAGCAAAAGTTTGCACAATATCATTAGGAATGCCTACACTGCATACAGTACTCTTATGAAAATTGATTCTCAACCCAGAAATAATCTCAAAGCATCTGAGTATTCTCTTCACAATTAACACTTCAAACCAATCAGCTTTACAGAAAATAATTGTGTCATCCGCAACCTAAAAATGGGAGATATTAATGCCATTGAACCCAATGGTTATCCCTTTAACCAAGCCCAACTCTTTTGCTCTCGTAAGTAATAAGTTTAGGCCTTTAACCACCACATTAAACAAGAAAGGTGATAATGGATTGCCTTGTCTTAGTCATTTTTGAGAACAAAATTCAGGAGTGGGGAAACCATTTACCAACACAAAGATTTTAGCTGAAGAAATGCAGGTTTGGATCCAATTCACCTACTTAGCACCAAAACCAAGATTGGATAGCATTTGGATAAGAAAGTTCCAATTTATCATGTCATATGCTTTTTGGAAATCCAACTTCAATATCAGGCCCTTACTTCTAGATTTCTTCCACCAGTCCACCACCTCATTAGCTATCAATACATCATCCAAAATATTCCTTCCCCCTAGAAATGCAGACTGAGCATTATCTATAATAATCGGAAGAACACTTTTCAGTCTATTGGTGAGAACCTTGGAAAGAATTTTATATGTGGAGTTTATAAGACTAATAGGCCTGTAGTCAAGGATGCCTGAAGGGTTGTCTTTTTTTCGGACCAAAGTAGTGAACGAACTATTTAAGCTCCCAACCAAACTGCTGTTGATATAGAATTCCTGCAAGAAAGTGAGGATATCACCTTTCATGAATTTCCACCTTTTTTGATAGCAAGTCATGTTAAACCCATCAAGACCAGGAGCCTTGTTGCCATCACAATTAGTAACTGCAGCCTAAATTTCATCTTCAAAAAATTCCACTTCCAAACTACTGAAATGCTGGCTCTGTTGGATCACTTTAAATGGGCTCAGTAGCTTGGGCCTGTACTGCCATTGTTCATTAAAGCTAAACCTGAAGTGATCATACACAGCTTGTTTCACCTCCATAGGATGCTAAGCTCCTAATATTTTTGAATCAGAAAGACAAAGACAAAGACAAAGACTCGGACTCAAAAAATGAGTTTACGTTGGTTTTTAAACAGACAAAAACGCAGAGCTACAGTAATTTGGGGTGTGCATAGCACAGCCATGGTGCAAGATTTTCAATTTTTTGTCATCTTCTTCAAGGAGTTATAACTTATGGAAACCCCATGGAAATCTCTAGAGAGAGAGAGAGAGAAATGGGTTATTTGTAGAGAGAGAAAGTTTGTTGGAGGAGAACCTTGACCTAGATCTTCATACACTTGAGCTATTTCCGATGCAACACAAAGTTCGACGATTTCGTCTTAGGCATCTGTTTTGTTGTTCTCAACAACCCCTTCAATCTACCTGAAGTTGAAGTTGTGAAGAAAACGAAGAAAACGATGATCGGTTCTTTCATGGCAAAGGAGATCGGCGACGGAGACGGTGGCTATAGAGATCAGTGACGGAAATAGAGACGGAAACGGTGACGACGATGAGAGATAAAAAGATCTGCTGACTGAGATTGCGAGGTCAATGTTTGGATTGCAAACTGAGATCAATTTCAGTCTTTCTTCTTGTTTAGCTCTTCGGCGGCAGTGGCGAACAATAGAGGAGGTCTCGCCACCCTTTTCTTCTTCTTCACTTATCTCTCTCTCTCTCTCTCTAGGTTTTCAAACACCCTCTCTCTATATTTGGCCTTACTGCTCCACGTGGTGGATGGTGATATTATTATTATGGTTTGTATGTTAGCTGTTATGAACATCATTAATATGGTTATTAAATTTATGTATGGTTAGTATTATAGTAATATGGTTACTATGGATGCTTATTATAATGTGTATGATCTTATTGTCATAAATAATAAAAAATAAATATAAATATTTTAGGCTTAACAAATATGTTTTTTAGTTTATGTTTTTAAAAATTTTCAAACATTTTGTCCAAACCAAATGCATTTGTAGTTTATGTTTTTCTAAAAATAAACAAAAATCAGTTTATAAAATTTTTGTAAACATAAACAAAAAATGTAAACGTTACCAAACACTACACATCTCAAAAGATCACCAATAAAATCAATCAAGGTAGAGAAAATTCAAATGTTAGAGAAAATCAGTCACGACATTAATGGCAAAGAAATTGTAGAGAAATTCATTTCAACCAAACTACTAGCTTCAACAAGATCAAGAAAGCACATAAAGTAAAGTGAATCCAATGTGTTCAGAAAAAATTGTGATGCCTGAGAAAATTCATCTCAAGAGAAAAATTGCATACAATGAGACAACTAACTAGTGAAAATCAAACAAGCAACATAATTTGATGGGTTAGAAAAAGTTCAGATGTCAGAGAAAATCAATCAAGGTACATAAATTAATATGGTTATAACTGTGGTCAAAGAAAATTCAAATTCTAGGGAAACTTCATCACATGGAGAAAACTAAATAGTGAAAATCAAACAAGCAATATAAATTGAAATACCAGAGAAAATTCATCTTAACCAAACTAATGGCAAAGAAATTGCAAAGAAATTCATTTCAATCAAACTACTAGCTTCAACAAGATCAAGCAAGCACATAAAGTAAAGTGAATCTAATGTCATAAGAGAAAATTCAGATGCAAGAGAAAATTATAGACAAAATCACATAACAATCATATTCATATATGTATATATATATATATATATATTTATATATTCAAAAACCCCATCCACCTTAAGCTGGTTTCAATTCCATGGCATTGATTATACTGAGAAAATCACAACAACATTGTTTTTATATAGACAACTAAATTCAGATAAAGGCTCAAATTTAAACACTGTTAAAATAGTCAAATTTGTGAAATTACATCATCTATTCAAATTCAATCATGTTATTGTGCTGCAAATTGGGTTTTTGAGTTTTGTAATTGATCAACCAAATGACAAAGAATTGGAGAAAATACAGACCCATCAAGGCTTTAGAACCAAGATCAACACCAGATCCGATGTAATGGCGAAGGTTTCAGGCCCATAACATGGACGACGATAGTGGAATCTTCCTTGGAGCTGATGCTTCGTGGCTTTTAACATCACTCGATACTGTTGCCATTGCTTGAAATTGCAACGTCTTTACAATTTTTTTTATCAAATTTACAAACTGAGAGCACTGATTTATAAACCAAAAAATTTGCCAAACAAGTTTTTATGTTAATTTTTAAAATTTTTGTAAATATAAACTGAAAACTGAAAACGAAATGGTTACAAAACAAGTGTTTGCTATTTTTTAAACTGCAATTAGATTTTGTATTTTAAGTTCTTTGATAAACTTAGCATGGTGTTTTCTTGTAAAAATTGTAGAAAAATTGGTTTATGAAAGCTCAATTTTCTTTGGTTTGTTCAAAACACAGAGAAAATTATGAGCAAATTAAACAAAATTGGTCGAAACACAAAGAAATTTGTGAGCAAACCAGTGAAATTTAAAAATATAGAGAAAATTTGAAAATATAGGAAAATTGAGGAAACTAGAGAAATTTCAAACCAATTTCTCTGTGTTTTGAAATTTCTTTGGTTTAAAATTTCTTTGTAAAAATTTGAGGGACCCCAACTACTATAAAAATATTTCATGTCCTTTATACTACAAAATCTTAATATGAGTGACCTTAAAAAAAATTCTCCTAATTTTTCTCAAGTTAAAGGTTAATAATCATAAAGCAGAAAATAATATTATTTTTTAACCTCCAAATAATCAAAAAAAAAAAAAATTGAAATGTATTTTTTATTTCATAAGTTATAAACAAAAATTACACAAACTATCAAGATATATATATATATAAGCAGTCCCTATAAAAGAGATGCCCACGCAATGAAAAAGGCAAAAACTATGTGTTGGTGTGCACAATTTAGAAGCTCGTCAAAATCGATCACCAACTGACAGACAATTCATAAAGTGAGCTTTGTATTATTTAGTGGAGCAAACCACGTGGAAACCCACAAGCCAAACCCCACTACAAATCAACCATACATTGATTGAATTGAATAGCCTCCACAATAGTGTCATTCTTTTTATTTTGAAGAAGGCTATGAGGTCTAAGAGTTTCAAGTTTTTATTTTTATGATTACTTTTATTTTTTAAAAATGGATAAATTGTAATTATTGTTGTAATTTAAACTTGCATTTATAATTTTTATTATTTTTCAAATTTTTTTAATTTATAAAATTGTCAGTAGTTGTAGAATTTTTAATTATGAGTTTTGGTTTGTGAAAGTACAAATTGTGGTAGTAGGGGAAATAGTTAGATTTTTAGAAGAAAATTAATCTAATGTGATAAAAAAATGATTTTGTAAAATTTTGAGTCAAATTTAACACAAAAATTGGATTTTGTCAGATTTTAACAGTG